CATTTCTCGTGTCTGCCGAAAACATTCACCGAATGACAACAGTTCGTTACTCAAATGAATAGAAACCCTACATAACACGGTTGATGGTAAGAATCTGGTCAGTTGAACACTTTCGCATTCATGTATACCTCTTAAAAGAAGTTAAAGAACACCCGATTCCGTCATATTGTAACTCTCTCATACCATAGTAATTTGAAAGGATCGGGTGTTTTCTTAGTTCTTTTGAGTAATATATGTCCATATGAATCATGTCGATGACATCTTGACATGTGTTGATGAGCTACATCGCGTACGAAATCTAAAGAATAATATACATGCGAGCAAACTCAAAATACACCGTACGCTCATAGCATATACAGTTAATTTGCAACCAGTTATGTATGCGAGTTGTGTATGAGAGGGTAATTCATGTGTTGTTATTGACTATTCCCTGACCATGTCTAGACAGTTGATGAGACGAGTTTTTCTGTTTCCAGGATTCCAGAAACTGCTTGTGGCGGGGTGTGTATTAAGGAGAGAATGTGGTTTTCGACGACTCTCTTTCCTCAACGCTGGAATTACACATCAGCTCGTGGTTTGATTGTCAGAATTTGCCCTGGATCGATTTATACCGGATAGAAAGTTACATGTAATTCCATGTACGATGTGAATCCCGGTTCGCCCCGACTATGTTTCTAGGTTTGTCAGCACCATACCCGTGCTCGTGGGTTTCACCGAAGTGGTAAACGTCTGAGACCTGCATCACTTGGGGCTTTCCTTCCACATCAAGCTGACACGCCTTGATATAACTGGAATACTGTGAAAAGCGGCGTTGAACACAACTCACTCACTCACCATATACGATACCGGATGGAAAAGGCGAGCGTTGGAAGAAAATAAGTGTGTTGTAGCAATAGATGGTATCCTGCAAAGAATGAGTCTTGTCATCAAATGACTAAAACTTATCCTAAAGACTGTATGGCAAGTGGGATGACTTCAGCTTTCAAATAGTCAGCTCTTTCCTTTATGTCGTGTAACATTCAAGCAGTTTATGCCTTTGGTAGCTACATTACTCAATGCATTTTTCTACGGAGATTTTATAGAGCGTTACAGGATCTGGTGGCGAGGCTCGCTGACATGGTTAATGCATGTCATCGTATACCACCTACGTAGATCGAGGCGCCTGGAGTAAATCACTGGATTGTCTGGTCAGCTGGAGTGCGGGGTTAGAACAAACAAACAAACAAAACTTCAGGGACACACGACATTACGCCAAATCGAATAACCTTTGGTCATATTGACTGGTTAGCTTTGATATCAATACTTGATGCATGTAACCCGTGAAGATTCGGGGTAGAATAGGTCTTCAGCAACCCATGCTTGTCGTAAAAGGCGACTATGCTTATCGTAAGAGGCGACTAACTGGATTGGGTGGTCAGGCTCGCTGACTAGGCTGATGCATGTCATTGTATCCCAATTGCGTGGATCGATGCTCATGATTTCAATCACTGGATTGTGTGGTCCAGACTCGATTATTTACAGACCACCGTCCACAGACCACCGACCACCTGGAATATTGCTGAGTGCGGCGTTTAACAACAAACAACCAAACCAACCAATAAAGGTAGTCAGTAGCTCTTCTTGGTGGGTGTAGTTTCAGTTGGATGTTGCAAAATGCACGTATTGTACCATCGTGTGTGATGTATGGGAACTACAAACAAACAATCAAACAAACAAACAAAACTTGATGCATATGGGTGCATATGCCTACTATCAGAGAGAAACCACTGCTTGGTATAAACACAATTCCCTTTGTAAGTGTGACGTAGTTGTAGTCTGTTCTGTACTACTAAATTATTGCAGCTTCGCTTTAACGTATATGTCGAGAAAATTTAAACAGTTATGTTATACGTAGGTGTGCCTGAAATGAGTGATTGAGTATGGTTTTACGACAATTCTAAAGAGATGAATGGGTTTGTTATCTTGTGACCTTTATCCTGAGATTTGACTATTCCGAAATTTTACATGGATACCACATTAATTTACTTCAATCACTCAGCAATTCATTTGTTTTATTACAATCGACCTGCTCCTCTAATCCAGTTTGAATTCAAGAAGTGGCTACGGGCATTGTCGTGCAACAATTTGTACAGCGAATCTAATCAGAAAGAGTTCAAGGGTATTATTTCTGTATTAGACACCTAAGTACAACGATCGCCCAATATGTCACAGCAGTGTATTTGACTAAAGATTCAAACATGTTACTGTTGATGACATAAGGTCAATGAGACAAAATAATATCTCTTGACATATACTAGTGTCAGACATAATAGTATGAATTACAAATAAATGTTTTCTGCTCTCCTTTTAAATAAAATGGGCGGTCGGGTAGCCTAGTGGTTAAAGCGTTCGCTCGTCACGCCGAAGACCCGGGTTCGATTCCCGACATGGTTACAATCTGTAAAGCCCAATTCTTGTGTCCCCCCGCCGTGCTATTGCTGGAATATTGCTAAAAGCGGCGTAAAACCATACTCACTTACTTTTAAATACAACAAATATTAGAAATATAAAAGGTTTAAATGTCATGTAATTGTTCCCTACCCTCCTTGTAAAGTACGAGAAATAAAAACAAAGTGTAAAATAATTCCTAATTAACATGCAGTTCAACATTTATTGGTTATGATTGACGTACATCCATTAAATAAATTTGATGGTGTTTTCGATGCAGCAAGCCAATCTGATACACTTGGTATCAATCCAATAAATATGCAAATACGATCATCTAGGAGCTCTTGAAACATTTAATAAGCTCTAATGCGAAGCTCTAATACACCAACACGATACCTTCTCACAAACCTTTGAATAACGCCCCGAGACAGAAAACAAGGGCGTAGGTAGGTGTGTGGGCGTGGGCGTGACCTTCTGACTTACTCATTAGGTTCCATTATTATGCCATATTCAGAGACTGAACTAAGGACGTGGTCGACCATCATTACATGAAACAACATATTGTTTCTCTTCATTTGTTAACATTAACTGATGTATTCAAACAAATTCATGAGTTTCATTAAATACTCCTTTTCTTGCATTTCTATGTTTTAAATATCTCAACCGCCTCCGTGGTCTAGTGGTAGAGCGTCCGCCCGGAGAGCGGAAGGTCCGGGGTTCGATCCCCAGCCGTGTCATACCAAAAGACGTTAAAAGATGGTACCCTATCTAGCGCTCGGCATTAAGGGGCTAAAACAATGACTGGACGGCTCGGAGTCAGTATACTGTGTCTGAGTGGGGTATTCATGTTAAACTGCGGCATGGTATCTCAGTGTGCTAGCACTATAAATCGGAATCAGTCCGGACTAGTACAAGCAGCCATACACACACACGTGCATGCACGTCGCTATATAAGTGCAATAATCTTGGACGCGTTAAACCCAATTTCACCTCACCTCACCTTTTAATGTCTCATTAATCATGGTATCTAAATCATTGGTGAATATGCAAGTTTGTTACTCACAAATACAAATACTACTGTACTATGTCAACGTATACTGTACAAGGATCAATGTCGTATTCAATATTATCCTAAAGTTGAGTATCGAGTGCATGCCTTAAATACCACGAAACATTTTCATAGACTGACCCATCGTATAAATCTCGTCATCTGGGTGTGAAAATATCAAAAGAAATAATGTTAATGTTATTTCCAATCATCAAGACTAGTCTATTGGCAGATCATATTTTTTTCCATCTTGTGTTTTCACGGATGCCCAAGGGGAATATGAGATCAGAAGTAATCGTTTACTAATTGTGGAGGGTGTAAAAACCTTCTCTTTAAGCTCTCCATATGTACTCTAAACAAATACTTTAGGAGTCAAGCAACCCATTCCACGTGGGTGATTAGTGCGGTAAAGCGGTTATTAATCTGACTTCGATGGTAATGACACATGTGAAATACTCATTTATTGCTATGTTATATTGTGGGCATTTTCGCACACACTATCTGTTCATTACTAACTAGTTCAACAATGTATTGTATTTCATTTGAAGTAGGCACGTGTAGTGTTTCTGCGTGTTGATGAAGTGTGTATGTTTGATGCCCTGGGATCATTATCCATCGTAGCTGTGTTTGACAGATATATTGGAAGTCTTACTGCAGACGTTCCCTGGCCAGTCCGTAATAATGAGAGCATCATCATAAAAAACAGAAGTCACAAACACTGAAACCCTGTTACCCCGGACTCTGGGCACACGTGACACTCTGGGCACTCTTGGCACTCTTGGCACACTGGGCTCTGGGTAATCAGGACACTCTTGGGGCTCTTGGCGCTCTTGGCACACTGGGCACACTGGGCACACTCGACACAGTGGGCGCTCTGGGCACTCTCACAATAGACTCTCTTGGCACATTGGGCACACTGGACACAGTGGGCATATTGGGCACTCTAGGAACATTGGGCACTCTGACACTGGGCGCTCTGGGCACATTGGACTCTCACACTGGGCACTCTGGACGCTCTGGGCACACTGGGCACTCTTGGCTCTCTGGGCACTCTCACACTGGTCTTTCTGGGCATATTGGACACACTGGGCACATTGGACGCTCTGGTCGGACACATTGGACTCTCTGGGCACACTGGACTGTCTGGGCACTTTGGGCAATCTGGTCGGGCACATTGGACTCTCAGGGCACACTGGGCTGTCTGGGCACTCTGGGCACACTTGGCACTCTGGGCACACTGGGCACTCTGGACACACTGGTCACACTGGTCACACTGGGCACTCTGGGCACTCTGGGCACTCTGGACACACTGGGCACACTGGACGCTCTTGGCACACTGGGCACACTGGGCACACTGCGCACTCTGGGCACTGGGCACTCTCACACTGGACTTTCTGGGCATATTGGACACACTGGGCACATTGGACGCTCTGGCCGGACACATTGGACTCTCTGGGCACTCTGGGCACTCTGGGCACACTGGACTGTCTGGGCACTCTGGGCGCTCTGGGCACTCTGGCCGGGGTCATTGGACTCTCTGGGCACACTGGACTGTCTGGGCACTCTGGGCACACTGGGCACTCTGGGCACACTGGGCACTCTGGGCACTCTGGGCACGCTGGGCACACTGCGCACTCTGGGCACACTGGGCACTCTGGGCACTCTTGCCATTCTGGGCACTCTCACACATGGCACTCTGGGCACTCTCACACTGGGTACTCTGGGCACACTGGGCACTTTGGGCACACTTGGCACTCTGGGCACTCTCACACTGGGTACTCTGGTTACTCTGGGCACACTTGGCCTCTGGGCACTCTCACAGTGGGTACTCTGGGCACACTGGTCACTCTAGGCACTCTGACACTGGGTACTCTGGGCACTCTGGGAACATTGGGCATTCTGACACTGGGCGCTCTGGGCACTCTCACACTGGGCACTCTCACACTGGACTTTCTGGGCATATTGGGCACACTGGGCACATTGGACGCTCTGGCCGGACACATTGGACTCTCTGGGCACTCTGGTCGGACACATTGGACTCTCTGGGCACTCTGGTCGGACACATTGGACTCTCTGGGCACTCTGGACTGTCTGGGCACTCAGTATCGTCGCTGATCGGTGGATCTGTTGCAAAACAGGGACGATAATTGGTCTTCTGGGTCGGATTCCAGCCTCGCGAAGATGGTTAATGACAGTCTGGCCCGATATCCTCCTCAAACCAGGGATGCGTCCTGCAGTCTCCGTAGCTGTGGCGTTGCGATGACGTAGGTGGAAAAGTCGAATATAGCGATCCTGTGCCGGGGTGGTAACTCTTGGTCGGCCGGTTCTCGGGCGGTCTGCAGTGGAATTGAACTGTGTGTATCAGTCACAAAGGCGGCAAATGGTGCTGTGGTGGACGTTGAAGTGGCCTGCAACAGAAGACCCCCTTTGGATACGTCCTTTGGCGATGTTCCGATGTTCCGATGTTCCGAGTCTTGGCATTTTCGAACTTGGAAAAATGTTAACAATTGAATGACAAATTAGTGGCTTATGCTTGCCTTTATATAGGCACTACAATGAGTTACGAATGTAATAACTTGCATGCGCATTTTGCTTTACTTTTTCCTCCATGACTTTTTTTAACAAATGTGAAAACAATGCCGTTTAAGACATTGCAAATCGACAATGGCTGCGTTTTGACGCACCGTTTGTCGAATATAAGGCCACCAACATTTTCCAATAACATATGTCAAATTTATGTACCGAATTTTTGTGTAGTCAGCTTCAATGAACTACGACTAAGTCTGCGTTTCCTTTTTTGAAGAGTGTATAACCTGAGTCGTTATTAATACCAAATGTTATTAATTACATTTATCTTAAAACTGCTAGAAGAAAATGGTCAATGTGCACCTGGGTAAACTACTATGCTGGTTGCTTTACTGGACCTTTGACAACATATTTGACTCGACCTTTGACAGTTTATGCCTTATATCTTACTTACTTCCATTCAAAGAGATCATCTATGATATTTGCAAATCGACAAATGACCTCATGGGTTTGGGGGACAAAAATTAGGAAACCAGATAATAAAAAGTGGTATGGGTTTCTTTTTCTCTATGGATATTCTACTTCGTGACGAAACCGTAGATACATGTACATGCCTTGAGGAACACATAATAATGCATTCCCCCCTTGTATTGTTGAACAGGATATCTGGAGCCTATTTCGGAGTGGCCTAGAAGTGTTATCAGTGGCTTTTGTCCAAATGAGACATTATCTGTGTGTAATTGATGTAACCAATAACGGTTAGGTACATACATGTATACGTAATGAAAGTTGAGCTTATGGACCTATTAATAGGTTTTGAATTACTCCGATCAAATTTACTAGTCTCTCTGTAAGGTTTAAACTTTGATTTCGCTATTTGTAGTGGTTTAATCAAATTGGAACCTATTAAGACGCTGATCCACTGATGATGGACACATCAGAGTATAGCTATATGGACTTCCACGTCGCGATGACGAAATTCAAAAGGACATTATGGTCTGTACAAACTATGCAAATAAGTGCCCGTTTCATAACGAGTAGTACTTTGACTATCCAAATACATTGCAGGTTTGAGAACATGAGTGCTTTGAATATCAAACAATTGTAGGTCTCGTGACGTGTAGTGCTCTAACTATCTGTACAAGTGCAGGATTCATAACGCGTAGTGCTTTCAATATTTAAACTAGTACACGTTTCATAACTTGTGATGCTTTAACTATCTAAGATAGTGCAGGTTTCATAACGTGTGATGCTTTAGCTATCTAAATTAGTGTAGGTTTCATAACGCGTAGTGCTTTAAATATTTAAATTAGTGCACGTTTCATGAGGTGTGATGCTTTAACTATCTAAATTAGAGTAGGTTTCATAACGTGTGATGCTTTTACTATCTAAATTAGTACACATTTCATAACGTGTGATGCTTTAACCATCTAAATTAGTGTAGGTTTCATAACGCGTAGTACTGTAACTATCATATTTAGTACACGTTTCATAACGTGTAATGCTTTAACTATCTAAATTAGAGTAGGTTTCATAACGTGTGCTGCTTTTACTATCTAAATTAGTACACGTTTCATAGCGTGCGATTCCTTAAGTATCTAAATTAGTGTAGGTTTCATAACGTATGATGCTTTAACTGTCTAAATAAGTGCAGGTTTCATAGCATAAATGCTTTAACTATCCTAATACATTGTAGGTTTCATAATATGTCGTGCTTAAAGTAACTATCAAAATACGATCAGCTTCCATAACCCGTAAAGCTTTAACTATCCAAACAAGAGTAGGTCTCAAAACGTTCAGTACATTCATCACTTAATCATTGCAGGTTTCATAATTATAGTATATCGTGCTGTAGATGTCGAAATACATTGCAGGATTCATCAAGTGAAGTGTTCTAACTGTCCTTGATTGGAAATGAAAACGTAATTCACTTGAAAAGAAACAATCCTGACAAAATGGAAGCGACAAAACACAAAATCTCACAAATTATTCATTGTCCAAATACATCAATTCCACGGTTGCAGTTTACGAAATAATGTCTTGATGACCTCTTCTCATTGTCAGGCAACATGTGCAATTTGATCTTCACGGAAAAGTTCATGTACCTTACAAAATGGGTTCATGATCAATACACAGAACCTGAAACATTACCTTCTCACATATCACTTCTGATGGTGAAACATAAGCCTCTCGATATGAGATACGATACGATTCCGTTATCGTAAGAGTTTCTCACTTTGATGCATATATTTAATGTCAGCGATTCTTGTATATGTAGGCACAGTTCAGTAAGTAAAATTGGGTTAATGATCGATACACATATCAATCTCACATATCAGTTCTGATGGTGAAACATAAGTCTCTCGATATGAGATACGATACGATTCCGTTATCAATCCCCTCCAGGTTAGAGTTTATTACTTTGATTCATATATACTGAACCAAATTAAAAACTTCAAAATCCTAAAATTTTAACATTTTGACCAGTTATCATTGTGGGCCCTTATTGTGTATTTAAACAGTAATGGCCACGTATTGTCTTCAGATAACACTGGTTTTTGTGCAGGTGAATCGATCAAAATCATGTGCACAGCACTATAGTGGCAAAAGTGGTTTTTCACGTGCAACTGGTCACGTGGCCACAACACCGCACGTGTTTTCAGCCATGCTTGTTAGCAGTCATTAACAAAAAAAGAAAAACACAAGAAAACAAAAGTCTTTACGGCCATTTGTCATGCCACGCCTTTCAAATGTTCAACGTGAACGTACCATCGGCATGTTGGAGACGGGAACGTCCGTAGCTGAAGTCGCAAGGACGATGGGTTGTAGTCGACGGACTGTTTATGATTTACAGACGCGTCTACAGCAAACGGATACCACCGCTGATCGCCCTCTACCAGGTCGACCACGTGTGACGTCACATGCAGAGGATCGTCAGATTGTCTTACGTCACCTCCGTAACCGATTTTGGACGGCTACAACAACCAGAAATGAACTGTTTAGGGGTAGACTGAGTGCGCAAGCTGTTCGAAACCGTCTGAAAACTGCTCACCTTCAAGCACGACGGCCATACTGCGGGCCGATTCTGACTCAATTACACAGACGTCAACGTCAATTGTGGGCACAGCGACACTTACGAGGAATTGGAATCAAGTCGTCTTCAGTGATGAATCCCGATTTAATCTTCGATTTACTGATGGTAGGGCGAGGGTGTGGAGGCGCCGTCATGAACGTTACGCCCAGTGTTGTGTACAGGAAGTTGACAGATTTCGAGGCGGAAGTGTCATGGTGTGGAGTGCTTTCTGTGGCAATGCACGTTCCAGGCTTCTTGTCATCCGTGGCAACCTCAACGGTGCTGCTTACCGCGACCAGGTACTGGCACCAGAACTTCTGCCTTTTATGGCAGCACATTGACCCGGTTTGATCTTCCAACACGACAATGCCAGACCCAACACAGCAATTTTGACAAGGAATTCCTTCAGAATGCGGGAGTCAACGTCATGGACTGGCCGTCAAGGTCTCCCGACCTCAATCCCATCGAACACGTCTGGGATGCTCTTGGCAGAAGTCTGCGCACTCTCAAGAACCAACCACAGAATTTGCAAGACCTTGGCACCATTTTGCAGCAACAATGGCGTCGTCTTCCCAAATCATGTGTTCACAAGCATCACAAGGTCCATGCGGAGGCGTTGTGTGGCAGTTGTCAACACACATGGTGTCCATACACGCTACTGAACTTGTGTGCCATCAGATTCTGGGACTAATGATTTAAACTGTTGATGTTATTACCGAATACCGTAGGTGCTTGGAACAAATTATGGTTACTACCGTTAATTAAAATCCTTCTTTGGACATTAATGATTAAAAATTACCTTCTCTGATACATTTGTCCGTTGTATATCATATATAGGATTACTTTTAAAAATGTGAAGTTTTTAATTTGACTCAGTATATTTAATGTCAGCGATTCTTGTATATGTAGGCACAGTTCAGTAAGTAAAATTGGGTTAAAACCGCTTTCAATTGTGTTTCAAGTACATCAAGATTTAAATATGTGTGTCTAGATTACCCCGAGGTATGAAGAATAGTTCACACTGACAAGTGTTGAATGAGTTGAATGAAAGGGTAACTAATTTTAAATTACATGCATTAAAAACAGGCCTCACTTCAAAAGTTAGACTCTTTTATTGCTGTAAACAGTTATATATGTTGTGGGTTGCCTGGCTGGTAAACATCTGGTAGCCACATTAACACATTCAGCGCACATCCCGCATTCAGAATGAATATCCTCTCAAAGTCACTTGCCATGATTGAGTGAGTGAGTTTGGCTTTACGTTGCTTTGAACAGTATTCCAGTTCTATCACGGCGTGCCAACCTGATGTCAGGGGAAAGCCAGAAGTGGTGCAGGACTAAAGCATTCACAACTCTGGTCAAACTCAAAAGGGGTATGGTGATGACACAATTAGAAACATATTGAGGGAGAACCGGGTTTTGAATAAAGCGACAAACCCCATATCCAACAGAAATCTCTGCATAAAGCAGAGTCGAAAGTACAATTTTGACTATATCATAAGCATGTGTTTCTGAATCACTATCAAACAGTTATGATACCAGGTGTTCGTGAAAAAGTGAGCGTATCCTGCCCCACCGGTGGCACCATCACAAACACATGCAAAGGCAAGTCAGTTGTTCACCTGGAAAAACACGGGGACATATGGTACAAGTCAAAATAGGGAATTGCATCGGACATCATTTTTGTCACTGATGCGTCAAATTTGGAAATCCTCCACATGTCTACCATAAAACGTTTTGAAAGCTTTACTGAGGCCTTGAATGTTGTAACCTTGATCAAACAACTACTGTGCAAGAGTCGTACGCTCATCGGTTTCTCGCACGCCTGAAGGGTGCAACTCGACACAACGAATTTCACCGCCTTCAACGGCTGGACCGCCCTTCTCTATAAACACCACTCCCTAGGCTACTGTGGACTATCAATAATATCGATATCTGCACAGGAGGGACGGAGCGGAGGAAGATATCAGACAGTGCGATAGTTAAAGATTCTTGTCTGAAGGTTTTGTACTGATCCATAGCGATCTGTACGAGATAGAACGGTGCTACATATTATCACCGACCTAAAATGATTCTTGGTTAATCAGTACCATAACCTTGTTTGTAAGTGTCACCAACGTTGTAAATATAAAATGTCAACGCCAGAGAACAACCGACGAAACAGAATCCATTGGCCGTGAAAGGAAAAAGTAACGGTTTACGGTTCTTGAGTGAGTGGGTTGGGTTTAACGCCGCTTTTAATAGTATTCCAGTTATATCACGGCGTGTCAGCTCAATGTGGGAGGAAAGCCCGAAGTGATGCAGGTCTCAGACGTTTACCACTTCGGTGAAACCCACGAGCACGGGTATGGAAACATAATCGGGGCGAACTGGGATTCGAACCCACAATCATAGGTTTCTGGCGTGACCAAGGGACGCAACTCTGCATAGCGAATTGCGGCACCTTAGATGACTGGGCCACCCGTGCCCCCTTACGGTTTTTGAATTGATCACTAAGACAGTAATGACTCCACATTAACCTGGCACGCCGTGATAGAACTGTTAAAGCGGCGTTAAACCCAACACTGACATTCAATCATTCGAATGTAATAACTATAGTATATTGTAAGAAAACGTACAACTAATTGACAACAACTTCTGGCTTATACAGTCAGATGTATAGGTCAGATGGTAATGAAGCATATGGGTAATGAAGTAAGATGGGTAAGGAAGTCAGATGGTAATGAAGCACATGGGTAATGAAGTCAGATGGGTAATGAAGTCAGGTGGGTAATGAAGCACATTGGTAATGAAGCACATGGGTAATGAAGTCAGATGGGTAATGAAGTCAGATGGGTAATGAAGTCAGATGGGTAATGAAGTCAGGTGGGTAATGAAGTCAGGTGGGTAATAAAGCACATGGGTAATGAAGTCAGGTAGGTAATGAAGCACGTGGGTAATGAAGTCAGGTGGGTAATGAAGCACGTGGGTAATGAAGTCAGATGGGTAATGAAGTCAGATGGGTAATAAAGTCAGGTGGGTAATGAAGTCAGGTGGGTAATGAAGCAGATGGGTAATGAAGTCAGATGGGTAATGAAGTCAGATGGGTAATGAAGTCAGGTGGGTAATGAAGCACATGGGTAATGAAGTCAGGTGGGTAATTAAGTCAGATGGGTAATGAAGTCAAATGGGTAATGAAGCACATGGGTAATGAAGTCAGATGGGTAATGAAGTCAGATGGGTAATGAAGTCAGGTGGGTAATGAAGTCAGGTGGGTAATGAAGCACGTGGGTAATGAAGTCAGGTGGGTAATGAAGCACGTGGGTAATGAAGTCAGATGGGTAATGAAGTCAGATGGGTAATAAAGTCAGGTGGGTAATGAAGTCAGGTGGGTAATGAAGCAGATGGGTAATGAAGTCAGATGGGTAATGAAGTCAGATGGGTAATGAAGTCAGGTGGGTAATGAAGCACATGGGTAATGAAGTCAGGTGGGTAATTAAGTCAGATGGGTAATGAAGTCAGATGGGTAATGAAGTCAGATGGGTAATGAAGTCAGATGGGTAATGAAGTCAGATGGGTAATGAAGTCAGGTGGGTAATGAAGCACATGGGTAATGAAGTCAGATGGGTAATGAAGCACATGGGTAATGAAGTCAGATGGGTAATGAAGTCAGATGGGTAATGAAGTCAGATGGGTAATGAAGTCAGATGGGTAATGAAGCACATGGGTAATGAAGTCAGATGGGTAATGAAGTCAGATGGGTAATGAAGCACATGGGTAATGAAGCACATGGGTAATGAAGTCAGATGGGTAATGAAGTCAGATGGGTAATGAAGTCAGATGGGTAATGAAGTCAGATGGGTAATGAAGTAAGGTGGGTAATGAAGTCAGGTGGGTAATGATGCACATGGGTAATGAAGTCAGATGGGTAATGAAGTCAGATGGGTAATAAAGTCAGGTGGGTAATGAAGTCAGATGGGTAATGAAGTCAGATGGGTAATGAAGTCAGGTGGGTAATGAAGTCAGGTGGGTAATGAAGTCAGGTGGGTAATGAAGTCAGGTGGGTAATGAAGCACGTGGGTAATGAAGTCAGGTGGGTACTGATGCACATGGGTAATGAAGTCAGGTGGGTAATGAAGCACGTGGGTAATGAAGTCAGATGGGTAATGAAGTCAGATGGGTAATGAAGTCAGGTGGGTAATGAAGTCAGGTGGGTAATGAAGCACATAGGTAATGAAGTCAGGTGGGTAATGAAGTCAGATGGGAAATGAAGCACATGGGTAATGAAATCAGATGGGTAATGAAGTCAGGTGGGTAATGAAGTCAGATGTACACGTTGGATATAGATCAAATGGATTAAACAGTTGCGACAAGCTGATTGGATGCTATTTAAAATAGCGTTTTGCTTGATTAGATCTTCATGGGCAGACGAAATAAATACCTTGACGCAGTTATACTTGAAAATGAAAACATCACCAGTGACAGGTAATCCAAATCTTACAAGAATTATATTGAACATATAATCGAACCATTGTCTCCAAGATAGGTTTTATCAGAACACTTTGAAACTTAGACAGAGAAGCAAATGCGTGAATTATTTCTTAAACGTATACATTCAAAATAAATAAATAGACACAACAAACGAAAACGAAGGAGATAGGAACATTGTTTTTTTTAAAAGAAGATGGTTCATCTGTTATTCAAATTATTAAGTGCCTTCGTGTTTGTTTCGCCATTGCCAATACAACTTTATCCAATGAGTACGAATCCTACTCCATCATCGGACGACAGAATGAACGTTGACACGTTCACGCAATGTTTTCCCAACAACACCGGCGAGCGTAAACACATCAACATATTCATACACGCCAGGGCCATGATAATGCGAAACCACCTACATACACTGGACACGTGATCGCAAGACTCTGTCACTCATGGTTTTGCAAGCACTTATTATTTCTCATTCAGTCCCCCCACTCATTGTAGAATAGACTATATTAAAGGACTGCTGTGAGTCGAGGTCTTCCTGTGCCTACTGGAACGCTGCCTCGTTGCTAAGGTGAGGTCTCTTCTCTTCTCATTATGCTAGGGCACTGTCTCTTAAGAGTAATGCGTGTTTCAACTGAAGTACATGCATCATATTACTTTCTCCGAACGTTGTTGTTATTCTCCTTCCCATGAATCCATTATAGGTACACTTTTAGCGGATTTAGTAAATTTAACTGAAAGCTATAAAGATTTACTTAAAAAGGTTAATTTGTGGGATTTTGCATTCTCTGGTGTCATTGATTTTCAAGGAACCTTTCATATTATTTTCACCACTATTTTGCCATTTACGTCCAATTGAATCTGTTTCGGCAGATAATTGAGACTGAAACTATATACGTTTTATATTTAAAGCTGTATTATTTGAAACCATTTTCGTGGCTTAAGCTTGGCTAATGATGCATTTCCTTCTTATGGTAAGATGTCGACAGCATTCTTATGGTTTCCTTCTTAATCAAATTTGTAAAAGTTACTGCAATTAGATCTCCTTTGAGTTATTAGCATGTAGAGCCGAACAGAAAGATCTCCGTTGAGTTATTAGCATGTAGAGCCGAACAGAAAGTCGTGAAGTGAACTGATCGATGTATGTACGAAGCCAGACGTGTATCAGATGACATTACAGATGCTCCTGGATGTAAAAGAATCTTACGATTAACTGTCGGTTACAGTTATGGAGTATTCTGTTCGATGTAGTACAATAGCAAAGATTAAGAACACCTTTGAAGCCACTGTATTGTTTGCACTATCCATGAATTACTTTTCATGAATGGTCAGGTGGTTGCCAATTATTCACCATGCACCGATTACATGAATGTACACTTGAAATAAAATTTTCTTGGTATTCTTACGCTGAAGTGATTGATTTCAAATTTTGTCGGAAAAGATTTGTCGCCAGCAGTGCTCGAACCCACATCGTATGATGGCAGAATGAGTAATCCGGCAACACACGACAGACTTGTGTGAAATTAACATAATATTTAAGATATCTGTTTAATCTTTAAAGGCTCAGACAATAATATGTAAAGTGTTGTGTCGCATTAAGTTACTTGTAACGATGTCCATGGTAAGTAACCAGGTGACCCTTTGATGAGAAAAACTAAACTGCAGGCCAAATAAACAGATCCTTGTGTAGAGCTCTTAATATTCCTGTCATTCCCGTTAGCATGTTCTCAAAACGTGTAAACGATTGATAAAATACTCGTTGAGGTCCCCGCGAAATTGTAAAGACTTTTGTACCACGCGGCGTGCAGAGTTTGGAGCAAGTGCATCAAATGCAGAAAAAGTAGTTCACGTGCATCATGCAAGAGTGGCTCACACAGAATATTTTCCAAAAAAGAATGTTGGGACAAAGTCTAAAACTGGAGATGTGAGAAATCGTAGAAAGTTGGGATGTGCTTTAACCTAGAGAACTAAGAGTAACTGTAGGCTCGTGAATGAGAATTCCCTTGCCCCCGCGGGACTCTGCGATTCCAATAGACGAACCGAGGGTTTTGTACTTATATGTTTCTGCTACGGCTTTCGAGTGTAGTATCCCATAGATGGTCAATGATCCAGTGAAACCTTGCTTCTTTTGATCGTTGAATGCTGTACAGCATCTTCTACCTTCAGACGTGTCTGTACGAATGAGACATAAGGACACAGAGAGACTTGTTCCTGTCTCTTTAGTGAGGAATCATTATTCATAAAAGATTACACCGTTATAGTCCTGATGTATTCTTCAAGATAAATACTCGGTCATTGTGTGTATCTTAACAACATACTGCGGGCATGGATACATTTTTCATGTAGGTAATAACATACTCTTATTCAATTTTGCAAGGTATAGAGCAAATAATACATAAAACTAGCTACCCATTGATGGCCCTTGTTGGTCTGTAATGTATTTATTTACTCAGATACATTACTCGATATAAAACCGCCTCCGTGGTCTTGTGGTAGAGCGTCCGCCCGGAGAGCGAAAGGTCCGGGGTTCGATCCCCGGCCGCGTCATACCAAAAGACGTTAAAAGATGGTTCTTGTTGTTACCCTGTCTGGCGCTCAGCATTTAGGGGCTAAAACAAGGACTGGTCGGCTCGGAGTCAGTATACTGTGTCTGAGTGGGGTATTCATGTTAAACTGCGGCATGGTATCTCAGTGTGCTAGCACTATAAATCGGCATCAGTCCGGACTAGTACAAGGAGCCACACACACACACACACACACACACACACACACACACACACGTGCATGCACATCGCTATATAAGTGCAATAATCTTGGACGCGACATTCTCCTCACCTCACGACATAAGGAACGTATCAAATAAATATGTAATTCGTAGTTTTTATTACAATTGGGTCACAGATGGTCCCGTCGAGTAAGGCGTGGTAATTACCTGTGCAGAATTGCGTCCCTTAGGGGAGCCAGGAACCTGTGAACGTTGGTTGGAATTCCGATTCGCACCGATTATGAACCTTGGTTTGTCATCACCATACAGTGTAAATGTTCAAACCAGCATATCTTCGGGATCACCTCATCATATGCCGCATTAAAACTGAAATGTCGTTCAAGACTGTGTAAACCACAGATCACTCGGTAAACAGGGTGACGAGTTTGGTCGAGGTCATATTTTATATCACCGTCCACGGACAAGTTACCTTAAACTAGTATGAGTCCCTGATCTACAATGATTCCCATGTGAACTGGAATAATTAAATCCTGTTGACATAATGAATGTCATCATATCAAACATTTCAAATTTAGGTAGTTAAAGTTTCAAATCGCAGTCATGAAGATGTAAAATATATTTTATGTTTAGAATATTTATAGTCGGTACCAAAAGATTTGGTATTTGAATGAATTACCTGAGAAGATCCAGGTTAGAATTGGAGTAACCAATTCTTGCCGTAAAAGGCGACTATGCATGTCGTAAGAGGCGACTGACGGGATCAGGTCATCTTCTCGAGGCAGGGGAGTTAACTGACTGTAAAAGTGGGCTTGTGGAGTTAGATTTTGGCTGGAGTCTATGCATAGTCCAATCAAAACTAGATATCCAGTTCGTAAACAAAATGGAATTCAACGTGCCGATTTCGGTCGACTGCAGGATTTGCGAAGCATGTGTACCGCCAAGGGGCCGTCGACAGATATTTTGGAAATCTTTTTATTTGTTTAATCAAGGTGCTCAAGTGATTTGAACACTTCGCGGGGTAAGACTCGTTTAATTACAATATAGATCTTAGCCGTCTTGACAAGGTGTCGCTATTTTGTTTGTGGAAAATGCAAGTGATATGAGTGATGGAGTCAATAGGGACGTAGAAAGGACATCACTCTGTAACTGTAATACTGTAATACTGTAATAGCCACTTGTAGCGCTACGATCGAGCTTGGAAATTCCAGCCTAGTTCGGCAAGGGTGGAAACTCAGTTAACGCCCTTGCCTCGGGAAGATGGGTTTTGTTGGTCAGGCTCGCTGACTTGCTGATGCATGTCATCGTATCCGAATTGCGAAAATTGATGCTCATGATGTCAATCACTGGATTGTCTGGTCCAGACCCGATTATTTACAGATCGCCGTCATACAGCTGGAATATTGCTGAGTCCGGCGTTAAACAACAAACAAATAAACAAACAAACAAACAAACAAATAAACTTGAATGAATGGTCATATAAGTGACGAGCAACAAGAGAAAGTACTCCTGGTTTTGACGTCATTATATGGATATATTCGATCTGTCATTACAGTATTGAAGATGACAGATACGATCTGGTATGATTCATGTGTTCATGTGGGCAGCTGATAGTATCAATAGGGGTTCCTACTGACCACGTGTCGCCATGTGTCCACGCAGTCGTCAGCTTCGAAGAAGTTCTTGCTTTTTCAAGGGCACATAGGACCAGTGAGGTGGCCTAGTGGGTAAAGCGTTCACTCGTCATGCCGAAGGCCCGGGTTCGATCCCACATGGGTACAACGTTTGACAATTTTTTGGGTAATACACCTACGACCTACCTTACTTTCGCGTACCATTTTAGGTTAGGCTCGGGTAGATATTTTATCTTTTATGGTGTCCCCAGCAGTGATGTTTCTGGAATACTGCTAAATGTAAAACCTAACTCATTCACTCACTCACACACACTCACGCGCACACCGGACGATTTAATGATAAATTAAAGGCGGTTCCCGTGTATCCCCACCCCAGTAATATGGGTGAAATGATTCTAAAACGGCGTTAAACCAAACCCAGTGACTCACTTACTCAAGGGCACATACACACACGACGTGTTTCCACAGAGAACAAAACATATCTCTTGTAATGTTTGATCGTGTAATGGGCGACTGGGCAGACTTGACGCTAAATAGTACGCACGTCACGCTGGCTACCACACACGTGTACAATGTGTGAATTCCATTTGTAGTCTCCATTACCGTGATTTGGCAGGAATATTGCTACAAGCGGATTGAAACCCGACTCACCCGCTCTTCTCTTTATTTGCTCGACGACAGAGCAAGGGTGGAAGGGTAAGGACCCACTACACGATGTGCAGAGTTATGTCCCTTAGATCAAGAATCCGATCGAATCTCATATCCATGTCCTTTGCCATCCTTTGTCTGCATGTTTAGACTCAAATATTTTGTGGCGTTTACCGTCAAACACTAAATTTGGGAAACAATAAGAAATATGGACACATAGTATCCACATTTGGCATAGAGTTCAACAAAGCGAGACACTATTGTCGACCATACGTGCCTCCCACGCCTCTGTGGGTGCAGTCAGCTTTGTCCAATGAACGCATGCATTACATGGTCACAAAAAATTCGCGAAGAGACATGTCATTATTCTGGAAGATGCTGGTTTCTTCTCAATTGTTCAAATTAACGGGTAAGCATGTTTTCCGGTCTAACTAGACTCATCACCGGTCTTCCGGTAACGGGTACCACCGGTGGGGCAGGAAACGCTCGCCTGATATCACTACTATGCATACAATGAATGGACTGTGCTTTTAGCAGATTTCTTATGATACGGAAAACGTTTTGTCG